ATATTTTATATATGGGAAAAAGGTCAAATATTTGTCGAAAATCAATCCCTAAAACATGGATGCCTTTATAACTTTAATTGGAGAGCCATCTAAAAATAATTCGGGGTCTTTATGGGGTTTGAAGCCCATTTCTGGTGTCGTTATGTTGCTGGAATATTGCTAAAAGCGGCGTAAAACCCACTCACTTTATGGCGTTAATATTGTCGATAGACATGTATACAGTAGGCCTTTACCTGAGAAAATTTAAAGCCATTATGAGTGAGTGAGTTAAAATTTAACGTCACACCGGCAATATTTCCAAGCCTTTATCAAGTGACCATTTATGAATTATATTTAGACTGTAATTGTCTTTCAACGGTATGGATATTTTTACCACGACATGAAATCTTAAAACCACCCACAAGCAATGACCCGTCTATTCAGTCATTTAGAACTATTGAGAGACTATTTATTTTTGTCCTATCCAAAGTGAGAGACAAAATACTGAAATTACCTTGTGGAACCCCATGATCCTGATAGTAATGGTCAGACAGGATTGATCCAACACGAAGTTGAAATTGTCTGTCTGTTTAAAACTGTGATATAGAATGAAGCCAAGGACCTCTCCAAAAATATTCATGTAAAGCTTTTAAACTATCATGTTCAATGTTGTATCATATGTTTTTTTGTGTTGGCGACCTATAGCCCATTTTTACATTGTATTGTCCAGAAATAATTTTCTACTTTTAAAGATATATACTAGCTAGTATTAACTTAATCTGTGATAATCTAATGGTTTTACTGTCCTTCGTTGACAGGGTTTTATATATTATATGTATGTATTATATATTTAGAACTAGTTTTAGTCACGATATGGCTGAAATATTGCCGTTGTGACTTTAAATCTTAACTCACTCACTCACTCATATGTTTTTTGAAGGTCCACAAAGGATTGATACAGCAGCTGGTTATTTACAATTGAATTTCTAATGAATGATTCCAGTCGAACCAACGGGTCAATAGTACTTTTATCTTTGCAAAAACCACAATGTAACATTGAATGTTTGTTAGACATCATTGGTTTCTAAACACGACACAGTTATTATCCATGGGTTCAATGCGTTTGCAAACTCAGCTCGTTAGTGAAATAGGTCTATACATATAGTTAGATGGATATGTATGATACCAGTCAGGCGTAGAAGGGACAACAGAGCTGAACTGAATTGAACTGTATTTACACTCCGACCGCATCCTGCGGCCTTCGAGGTACATGTTACATCGTTATGTTCAACTTCTATATGTTACATACATTCTATATGTACATGTCTGGTATACATAATGTGTCTGTACATGCATTTAACCAGTTAAAAGAACAATGTTACACTCGTGCGTTATTCATTTCATTTGGGAGGGGGGGGGGGGGAGTTGCTTAAAATGAGACATTATTATTTTGCACATTTTTTCTTCTTGCTTAATTGTACCTTGTTTGTTAGCATGACAAAGCTGGTTCATTTTGTGGATATTCGGGTTTCTGAAGAAATAATTGTTCAGATATGTCAGGTTTTGCTATATTTCTGCGGAAAATCCTATATAACTTTTGTTTTCAAAGTCATTCAATGGAAAGCCCATTCAATGGCGGAGGTGCACCCAAAAGGGCGTTTTTTCTAACTTTTCAAATAAAGTTCTCGCATTGTTCTCGCAGGTGAAAGTCTAACATTCCAACCAGTTGACGGGGTCTTCTTTACTCGGGGAAAGGAGCCAGGTTGGCCACTGGCTCGGATCTTTGCCTTTGTTCCCCGCTCAAGATGATGCGACGGGCACGGCGATGTGAAAATTGCAACGCTGCCCTCCATGTTCTCCCCACGGAGATCGGAAAGATGGAAGACCCGAGATAGTGCATAGAGGCATAATTCCGACCTCCACAATGATCAAGCCTTTGGTTGCCTTGGTGCTTAGCTTGTGTAACGGCGCGCGACGTTGCTCATGCTATTCATCGTTCGTTCTCCCGAAGATGCTCCATGTACAGACGGCCATGGTGTAGTAGAACTGAAACAGGTTGAGTCTTAACAGCTGGCTCAAAGACGACTTTGCTGGAAGCAAGTTCAAATGTTGGTGTTGCATAGGGGTGAAGGGGCGACCCTTACAGGAGAGGCGATGGAGGCGAAACGATGGCTGACGCAGGCAAACCAGTTTGAGTCTCGGCAGTGGCTCAGAGGCGTCTTGGCAGTAACTGTGCAGGATTTTCCGTCTCAGATCTTTGCAATTTCCTAAGGTGTGGCAACTGGGAAAGGAGAAGTATTTTGCTGTAGTGCCTGCAGTTGTATATGTGAGGCATGACATGTCAGACGGATATTGACGTTTACTAACGTATGTTATTATAATTGATGTAAAGTGTATCATGTGTTGTTCAGCACGTGTAGCAGCTCCACTGCCATTATCAACAGTACCTGAAGAAATTACATATCTCTGATCTACCACGACGATCTTCATACGTCGAGTCATCGGCGTGTTTCTAGCTTCCTGGTTTGACGGGTGTTACTTGTATCCTAAATCACAAAAAACACACTGTCACTTAGTGGCTTACCTCTCATATTTTTTCCAAAATGAACCGTTTCCATTCCAAATCCATGGCAAACTGATGTTGTATTTTCTCTTCTTTTTTTCTCTTTGGTGGTTTTCTTTTCTTTACAAAACCACCTTAATCCAATTTATGAGCGTTTCCCCTCCACAAGTACCTATGCAATTCTTCTTGCCACCACTACAGGATCTCTTAATTAGTATTTTCCATTATTGTTTTCTTCAATGTTTGTCTATTTTCATCCTTAATGAAGTTCTTCATCGCCAGTATTACACTTCACTTGTGGTGGGACTTTGTAAACGAGAAAGCGTGCTGCACGTGCTGTAACATATGTTATATTTGGGATTACACTTTCTTAGTAAAGTACAAATTCTAGTACTTTTTTTTTAATTGAGCCCCATCCGGGACTCGAACTCACACCTTCAGAGTCAGGCACCTAATCGCCAGCAGACAAAGCTAGCCGCCTAACCCGCTCAGCTACCGCGACTTCCACAAAAATGGAAGTCGGGCAACTGGTAGTCCATGACATTCTAGAAGTTGGGTAGACGAAGAATGAGGACTATTTTTATGGATAAACAACTTCTTTATTCTATATAGGCGACGTTACGACATAGATTCTAATGTCGTTGCTTGACATACAAGTTATTTCTAACGTAGATAGCACCCCCTACTACCCTCCACCCCCCCACCAACTTAAACCCTTTTTCTTTCTTTTATAAGTCCCATTATTTAAATTATGGAGCCTAACTGCAACCATACTACATGTCCCGCTATGCTATACCTGTTTATAAATCCCTTATTATAAACATATTAATTATTATTCTAGCTCCCACCTACCCCGTCGGCGACATTGGCTACAGCCAGGAGCCGACGTTAAACTCATAATCATCAACATCAGAGCATCACGGCACTTGTGGTAAAATTGTTGGACACAACTAATTGTCAGAAATCATTGTTGAAGACTTCATTCAAGCCATAGCCTCCATACCTTTTAAAGGTGCTGTTTAACAGCCAGTCCTGGTGGATGCCATTGATGCAGGTTTTCAGGGCATTGCCTATTTTCCAAATAGGAGAGAATGACTGATCCCCAAAACCTGGTCGAGGATCTTCTGAACTACCCTCGGTGAAAACGGCCGGGCTCCAGAGCAGTGATGGGAAGTCTTTTCCCGAGGGTGAAAACCAAGGAACATGACGGTCTCTGCCTACAAGCGGAAGGTGGCCTTTGGAGGAGGCGAACCGGCGCTTGAAGAGGATGTTGCGACGCCGTCTAAATGCCACCCTATGGGACCACGGCCGGCACATGAGGATGGGACCTGCGCCATTAGTGAAGGATGGCGTCCACTTGACGTCAAAAGACAGTGCCCAGTTCTGGCTTTCCATTTCGAAGTGTATGTGTAAACGCCCATGAACTTTCCGGTAGATAGTCGTAGTTCCACAACTCAATAAAAGTGGTTTCGGCCCATTGTGTTTATACAGCAGTAGCAAAAGGGTTCGCTGTTCGAACTTGCTGTTGTGGGAATGGCGTGCGTCATCGCTGGCTGTTGGTCGTGGTCGTGGTGCGATAGCTGCATTGTTTGTGTCTCACTCACTCACTCACTACATAACATACATTTCACTTACATTTCACTCCTCCCTAACACCAACGACGTGTTTAACTCACTCACTTTATGGTTTCTACGGCATTAAACTATACTCGCCTCCCTCATCTAGCATTATGACTCACTTACCCACCCACCCACTCACTCGCTTCTATGGAAACGATGCTCGCCTAACAATGGCTCTTTCCTTGGTAGAAAGACATGTCTATAACTCGTCGCAAAATGGACGTGGACGTCCAGCCAGATGCTCCACGTCGACCCCATGACAATATCAGCTGCTTCATGCACGTGGCAACATTTTGATGTATGATATGCGTTCACAGACAAAGTTATTTATTCATTAACCTGTGCTGTGCCGTCTCCATCCGTTCTCGAACACCTGGCTGTCCCTTTCTCTGCACTCCTATCTCCTAACAAACAGTGAACTGTGTCAATATTTTAATGATAGTTTGTTAAACAACTTTATTTTTTTTAGGACGAAAATTCTGCAAAAAACCTCACAGAGTTGTTAGGATGTTTTGATTATGATCAGCGTTTCATTGAGTATTTTATGTTTATTAGTTTTCGAGTTAGATTGCGATTCATCGGTCCGCTTTTGAGCCTAACGGACTATAGTGACGAGCACGATGGGTGCGATGAAGGACAAAATAATAAAATGTAATAAATGGCCAAGTAAACTGGTTCACGTCATGATCATTTAAACTGACATTATCCGTCTAGCAGCTGAAAGTGATTACATAGGTTCTGTGTGCTGCGTACATTGGTCTCACAGATGGATACTGTCCTGCTTAAACAATGTGCGTTCATGTGTATTGATGACGTCAAACATTTCTATGTGGACATGTAGACAGCTATAATGTACATTTTCTGAGGGTTTCAACACGTCCTGGCGACATGGCGCGACAGTTCAGAATACGTCCACTTTTCACAGGATTTCATGGCCATAAAAGAAGCCGGAGAGAATGCATAAGTTGGTATCTTGTGTTTCCTATCTACAAGCGTCTATGTGGCGAATGTAGCTGTGTTTAAATAGATCGATTGAAAGCCCTGATTTGAGAGAGGCTAAGTCAATATGATTGGAAAATATCATGTTGCCATTTGCCAGTTGGTTGGAAGACGACCAATAGAACTAGCAAACGTCGATCTGATAACTGTATATAAGTATCTGGGGATGTCTGGTGGGAACATTGGCTTAACGTACTACAGATCTTAACTAGTACCTGTTTACTTTAGACCACACCTATAGCTACGTCATGGGAAAGGTATGTAATCTTCTTTTCCATCTCCTTGAATATTAACCCACAAGCTGGCCTGGTAAAATACATGATTTTACATTTTGTTTGGTATTGTGTTGATGAATCAATTTGAATTTCAATATGAAATGTACATAATTGGAGTGTATATCATGCACGGAATAGTTTGTGTTTAAACGGTCGAGACTCGTGGGTGTAGGCCCAACACGAATCCCAGAAAAAGATTATGGTGCCGACAGTCAATACATCATACTTAGCAATCATCTGGGGTTATCGTGTGGAAGGTACAGCCTCTACTTCAAATTCTGTCCAAGCCCACACCCTCAGAGTCAGGCACCTAATCGCCAGCACACAAAGCCAGACGCCTAGACCGCTCAGGCACCGCTGACTCTGAGCACTACAAAAATAAGTTGGTTTCCGGAACACTGAAACTGAGAAGAAATGGCATGGAAACCACCATTTCCAGTTGGTTTCCATGTAGTTTCCTATAGTTTTATTGTGGTTTCCATGAAACCTGAAACTGAATTTTGCACCATTTCCGGCTGGTTTCCAGTGCGTTTCATTACCCACTCCTCCAAGCCGGATCCAGCTGGTTTCCGTGTTTCCTTTATTGTAGGTTTCAACCTGGTTTCCATGTGTTAGTTTATTGTAGGTTTCAACCCGGGTTCCGTGCTTTCGTTTATTGTAGGTTTCAACCTGGTTTCCTTGTTTTTGTTTATTGTAGGTTTCAACCTGGTTTCCATGTGTTAGTTTATTGTAGGTTTCAACCCGGGTTCCGTGTTTTAGTTTGTTGTATGTTTCAACCTGGTTTCCGTGTTTTAGTTTATTGTAGGTTTCAGGCTGGTTTCCGTGTTTTAGTTTGTTGTAGGTTTCAACCTCGTTTCCAGGTAATTTACTTTGTTGTAATTTACTTTGTTGTAGGTTTCAACCTAGTTTCCAGGTAATTTACTTTTGAATGTTTAAGGACTCACAAACCGTTCCAGGAGTGAGTGAGTGAGTTTAGTTATACGCTGTGTTTAGCAATATTCCAGCAATATCACGTCGGGGGTCACCAGAAATGAGTTGCACACATTGCACCCACATGGGAATTCGAACCCGGGTCTTCGGCGTGACGAGCTAACGATTTAACCACGTGCACTACGTAGGCTACCCTACCGCCCTTTCTCAGGAGGACAATAATTTTATAATATTTTAACCCCCTTTGAGGATCTGTTGGATTGGCATTTTAGAAGTTGATGAATAATAAAAAAGGTATGTTTAATGGATAACAATATATTTCGCTATTATTGTATGATGCGACGTTTCGGTAGAGACACTAATACCGTTGTCACTTATACTTGAGAACTAATTTTAGAAACTCATTTATTCATTACACAAATCAATATTCACGTCATCACTCTGAAATGAAACCCTTCTCATTTTAGACGTTGTTTCTTGCAGGACGTGTACATTTTGCTTCTATTACCTGTGGGCTGTTTTTGCTACGGACGTATGTATACAGCTTTATAACTCTGTATTGTGCACAAGTAAACAGACACGTGAAGACCCGGGTTAGAGTTGGTCTTCAGCAACCCAAGCCTGTCGTAATAGGCGAGTAACGGGATCTGGTTGCCAGCCCGCTGACTTGGTTGACACATGTCACCGTATGCCATTTGATTAGATCAATGCTCATGGTATTGATCACTGGATTGTCTGGTCAAGACTCGATTATTTGCAGACCGCCGCCATATAGCTGGAATATTGCTGATTGTTGCGTTAAACAACATCCAAGAACAAAACAACACACAGTAACACTCTTGTACATGATTACATGACTGAGCAAGTTACTGTTGTAAATATGGCAATCACGAGTTTCAAACATTGTTGTAAATATGGCAATCACGAGTTTCAAACATTGTTGTCAATATGCTAATGAAGAAACTAAACACGCGCTGTAGTCTCCGTGTGCCTACATATGTCCTTCAATAGTCCCCACACATTCTCAATAGGGTTAAGATCTCGGCTGTAGCTGGGTCAGTCTAGAACTTGAACATTTTCGTCCGACATCCACTGTTTTGTGTAGCCGGCAGTGTGTTTTGGGTAGTTACCATGCTGGTAAATCCAATTATCTTTATACAGTGTTCGGGCCGTTGGAAGGAGGTGATCATTTAAGATATATCGTTCCTTCGTCAAATTTCCAGTGAAATACACAACGGCGTCACTCCACGTGATGAAAGTTGTGGCTATGTTTTGGGCGTTGGTAGGTTTCACGGTATCTTTTGTCCACATTTTCGCACAGTTCGGATGTCCAAGTCGCCGGCGATCCATAGTACTGAACTTCCGTGCCCTCCCTGTCTCTGTATTGTGCTCAATCACAACTCCTCCAAATTCTGTATATTGTTGACAGAGTAATGTCATGTCTACCAGCTAACTCTTTTGAATAAGTCACACTCCTTTCAAAATCATCTAGACCCAGTTTCCTTTCTCTTCTGCCATCAAATCTGCCATGTCAATAAAATAAGCCGTCTGCTAGGGGAGATAACTCTTAATGAAATAAGGTTCATTCTTAAGCCTACAAGAGTTGCCCCTCATATTGAGTACCTCACTACAAACATCTATTCAACAAGATAATGCCGGTCCACATGTCACTTTCGTTGTGACATATTTCCTGAGACAGGACAACATTCCGGTACTCAACTGGTTAGCTGTTTCTCCCGACCTGTCCCCTATCGAGCATGCGCGGGATGAACTGGAGAGACGTTTACGTAAAGCCCAGAATCATCCATTGACGTTAGCTGAATTGAGACAAGCGTTGGTTCACGCAAGGAACAACATTCCCAACGCTTTCTTCGATCGCTTAGTGTCGTTTATGCGTCGTCGTTGTCGAGCCTGCATCAACGCCAATGGTGGACACACATGTACACGACACTGAATTTGTGTACTGACTTTTGACACCACATCTTTTCAAGGGCGTGTCACAGTGCCTCGACTCAAATCAGAAAGAGTTCGATATTATTCTTGCAACAGAAAAACACCACAAGTCGTGTTATTATCATTTTGCATTAAAAATGGAATAACATCAAATAGTGAGTGAGTGAGTTAAAATTTTACATCGCATCGGCAATATTACAGCCATATAGCGATGAAATCAGGTAATTTAAAATATCTGTCGACAAACGACAGTAAAACAACTTGTCTATCACAGATATATATTTAAAACTAGTAATACAATCTAAAATACTTTAACTATAGAAGGCGATACAAAATAAAAACGGGCTAGAGATCACCAACACCTGAAGGCAGATCACCATACTAGGGACCATGGGGACTAACAGTACCTTTGCTACCTGCATGGACCCTAGTTGGATTTACACCATCCCTTCAGCCGCTGGCAATTGTAAGAAATATTAAGCCAAACTTAAAAAGTAAAAAAATATTACGTTTAAAAAATCCTGATAAGATTTAAATTTACTTTGAAAGTTTGGGGACTTACGTACCCTCTCAGGAGGACAATAATTGTACAATACTTTAACCCCCATTTGAGGGTACAGCCACTAACAATCTATGTTTCTAATTTAAACTTCCAATCATTAAAAAATATCTATCTACATATCATATCAATCAAAATGTATCAAGCAAATGATAATTAACTTGGTTAAAAACGATCTTTTACCGTTTTAACACTGAAATATTTATCCCCTGTGATGGACACATCAAATGTGTTTTTTTTATGTGTATATTTTGATACACGTATACATATTAACTTACTGAAGGGGTAAGTGGGTTTGTTTATTTGTTTTTTAACCCTGCACCCAGCAATATCCCAGCTATATGGCGGCGGTCTGTAAATAATCGACTCTAGACCAAACAATGAAGTGATCAACAGCATCAGCACCGATCTACGCAATTTGGAAGCGATGACATGTGCCAACCAAGTCACCCGATCCCGTTAGTAAGCATGGGTTACTGAAGATCAATTCTATCCCGGATCTTAACGGGTCGTGTGTCGTAGCACTTGGTCTCACCTACATACACACATGAAGTAGTTATTTGGGGTTACGCTACAGTTTGAAATTTGGAAACAGGTGAACGAGCCTGTATTTAAATTTGCGTTTGGTTGAAATTTGAAGTGACAGTGGAAGATGAACATACTAGACTGACTGTCGAATCTGATCCCCCGAAATCAAAGAATAGACCCCTTTCTAATCGATCGACGAGTGCGTGTTGTAACTCATCAACGACTGTTGGTTTTTGCGACCAGAGGGTTTGATGAATTCACGCCTCTACCCCGGCATGCGACAAAACACACTGCTGGCCCTAACTAACATGGGATTCCTTGGACATTCGGACAGAGTGTTGTGGTTAAGCGGTTTTAAAGCTTACCATCATGGATAACCAGCAGTAACAGACTAGGTAGAAAGCAGGATTCTCGTGGTTCAGTTTTTACATGTGAGCGATGCAGCGGGGCATGACGTAGTATGAGTGGCATAAATTCAGCTTTCCGCCTGACCTTTATTTTGCGGAGTTAAGCATATAAGTCTCGAAAGTGCTTCAAACTTTATATCACAAGATAGTGCGTGCGCTGTGAAGCGGTCATAAAATCCGACGCATTTTTCAGTCCAACGAGAGTGTGTCTATTGATATTGATTGTCCAATCAATTTAAAGTATTTTACGTTGACATGGTAGAATTGTTCATCGATGTATAACATGCCCAAACCTCTGGCAGTGGGTACATCTGACAGATTTACAGACGCACACGCAAGGACAGTTAATACATCCTGTAACGACTAAAAGCAAGTGCGGGGTTGCACAATGTAAGAATGATTCAAGTCTTAATTTCCTTTCCGTTTATTCTCAGTAGTCGTTTGGCTACTTGACCTATTGACACAATCAATGCCATCCGCAGTCACTCAGTCAGTTTTACACTACTGTGAGAAACAGTGAAGTATTATCACGGAGGGGGATACATGGAATTGTCTTCACACATTGTGCCAAGTGGGGAATCCCCTTACTGTATACTGTAAGCCATTAAAAACGCAATTGGTATTTGTTGTCCTGAAACTCACAAAAGTTCTATTGAAGATTTGTGCCTGCGATACAGATGATGTAGGGATAAAAGGCTGTTATTCTGGCCCATTTCGAGTTCGAGTCCCGGAGCATTCCTCTCACATGCACTTTGATACTTAAAACTGAATCTTTGACATTTCTCGTAAACACAACCACATTCATGAAACACGTTGTGCACATGTATTACCTGCACCCAGGCCCTGTAAAAGCACAAGGAATTGTGGAACTCAATCACTTTGAAAAATGCCACACTTGACACAAGACGAAAGGAATCAGGTTATCGGTATGGTCAGCCAAGGTGCTTCAGATGTGATGATTGCCAGGCACTTTAATGTGCATCCATCCACTGTAAGTCGACTCAGACAACGTTTTCGGGCTGCGGGAAGTGTTGCTGATCGTCCGCGACCTGGTGCACCACCTGTGATAACAGCTCGACAAAACCGCAATATCCGAGTTTCACACTTGTGAAATCGATTCCAAACAGCTGATGATGAGGCAAGGAGGACAATTGGGACAAGTCAACGTCATTTCAGCGCCCAAAAGGTGCAAGGACGCCTGGCTGCCTTCAACATCCGGTGTCGTCACCCGTACCGTGGTCCCACCTTATTGCATCGCCACAGGCTTGCCAGACAGCGATGGGCAGCAAATGGGGCCAATCTTGGCAACAGGACATGGCCAGATGTCATTTTGTCAGATGAATCCAGGTTTAACTTATCCTTTGCAGATGGACGTCCACATATTTATCGACGTAAAGGAGAACGACTTGCGCCAAACTGTGTCCTTGAACATGATCGTTTTGGAGGGGGGTGGTGTCATGATCAGACCACAGACCATCAGAGGCTGCAGACCATCAAACAGCTGTTCCTGAGAAATGTTTGTCTTTCACTGCCCCAAAGACTGCGAGCATGTCTTGCAGCGCACGGTGGACACACGATATTGACTGCAAGTGACCCCTCCTTTGTTTGATGTCGTTGTTGCGTCACTGATGTTGTTGTTGACTGGACATTTTCAGATGAAATTATTCACAGATGTTCACTTAAAACATATCTGCCAGTTAGGTTTATATATGTTGACATTGGTGTGAGTAAAGAAAGTATGAATGTCAAATTGCGTTTTTAATGGCTTACAGTATACATATGGAAAAGCTAACAGAACTATGTCTAACTCTCTGGATCAGACCGCTATGGCATCGTCCATAACAGACCCAAACAACAGCCTTATTGCCCTCAGTAAATATAGTACAAACTAACATTTCTCACCAGAATTAACTGCATGTGCTCGAAAAACGCCATGAACCTAATTTCCGTCTGTGTATTCTTTCAGTACCATATGGTGCAGTTAAACGGAATCCATGTGACCAATTCACAGAACTGAAGAACATGTCGTCTCGATCCCCAAACTACATAGGGGGTCCAGTGATTAACAACGATGTCAACCTGGCCTCGGAGTGGTACGCAGCACCTGCTGGGTGGGAGCTACTCAGTCACGACCCTGGCAGATGGAAGACGTGTGGTACAGAAAAACCAATTTATAGAACCGGTAGGACCATTTCTGCATTTGAAAGTAAAAAGGAACTGTAATATCTCTCTATATCGACTGTATGAGAACATGTCTGTGACAGGTAAAGACGCATATATCCCCATCATAATGGAGACGATCGATGCTCATGATGTTGATCTCTGAAATATCATTCCTATTGTCTGGTCCAGACTCGATTATTAAAGCTGGAATAAAGCTAACTGTTAAACAACAAGCAAACCAACCTGTAGCTTCACAAACACATCTGATGCCTTCACAATGCAATAGGCACATCTAACAATGGGTTCAGCTTTTAGCATATACGTTCAATATATTTTATCACCTTTATGTATATAGCTATATGGTGAAAAACTTTCATATCGCATAGCTGAACGCTATATCGGCAGTTTATTCATTGAATAACTGCGTTTCAGAATTTGAATTTCATAATATTGAATGCAATATTCATACAACACTTAAGGTAGACATTTTTGTTCTTTCCTTGCAATTTGTATAGTACTACAGACGGTATGATTATCCACTGAGGGAGTTTGTTTCACGCCATTTTGTAAGCAACATTTCAGAATTATCAGGTTCCCCAACGTCATATAGGATTGTTTCTTACTGACTAAAGGCACAATGCCACACATCTTCGACAATAGTTTGGCCTATATTTTATATATTGCGGCATACGCACTCACATTAGCGTTAAGAAACTAATATGGGAATTTATAGTCTCTCATAACCATTAATGGTTGGCTCATAAGTTACTATGTTTTATACCTTTACAGAATCTGCTTTCAATGTGAGGTGTGTCCTGAAAAAACATAACTGTCCATCTGTCTGCAATTGTGTGTGCGTAAGATACACATGTGTAATTGCTGAAAATGAAACAAATTGATTTTCCAAAAGTGAATGAATCACATTGTCATGTAGCAAGGTAGAACGTTCTTCTGCCTGGCATAAACATTATCCGGCCATGCTTGGTATAACTGAAAGTAATGCCAAATTGTCATAGGACCTATGTAATAATCCCTTGATAATATCTTGTTAATATTTATTGTGTGCCCATGCACTGTAAACTTAATACTGGCAGCGGGATATAAGAACACTAATAGTCACCTTCCGATTCAAGTTCGACAATGATGTTTTCCGTTTCTGCTTCAACCGCGATTTCTCGTTGCCAGTACCCATCTTCAATAGCTTGGACATGCTCACAGCATTCCGACCATTCCTTGGAACCGAGTGCTGACATTCTCTCTTCACATTGTGTCCGAAGCTATGTCTTTGTGAACTGTAACTGTTTTGCCTGGCAACATAATTCTTGACATTGGCCCAAATCAACTCAATTGGGTTCAAATCTGCATGGTACGGAGGTAACCGCAGAACGACATGCCTATGTTGCTTCAATGGTATCTACGCGATGTATGGAACCGGCTATATTAGATTTGGCACAAAACAACAGTTCGGCTTTGAGCATTTTGTCGTTGAACGCAATATCGTGCCTTTTTAGCCACGTTTTGATGTCATCCTTCCTATTGGCGGTTGTTGGGCACTTGTCAACTAGCTTGCCATGGTATGAAACGTTGACCTTAACTATAACGGAGATGGGTAGAATATTGGGTATCAATTTTTATTTTCTCAAAATTCATCTCATCGTGTTCAGGGCCGATCTTGCCAAGTCAAGCCTGGTGTGTGAACCCCCAGACGACATTGAGGCTCTAGCAGATCTCTATCAGGATACGCTCTCTGCAATCCTAGACAAGCACGCTCCCGCTGTTAGCAAGACTGTTGTTGTGCGGTCAAATTCTCCCTGGTATGATGATGAAGTCCATTGGGCGAAAATTCAGAAACGTAAATCTGAAAGACTTTGGCGTAAGACACGACTAGAAGTTCATCGTCAGATGTATTGTCAAGCGAGGAATAGCATGATTAAACACATAGCCCATGCTAAGAAGAACTATTGTCTGTCCACTATCGAGGAGATTAAAAATAATCCTAGGAAAATGCATAAATTTATAAATGGCCTTCTTGGGAAAAAGCATGATCCAATCCTACCCTCAACTCCACCTTTTGATGAACTTCCTGACTCCTTTAATGACTTTTTTCGAGCCAAGATTGACAAAATTCATTCAACACTGAAAGGTACTAGGCTCCAGTTTGATACTCCTACTGATACACAGTTTTCTGGTATACCACTATTGGAGTTTCATCCATTTTCTGAAAACGACATCAAGAAGATCATTTCTGGATCCAAGCCGACCACTTGTCACTTGGACCCGATTCCCACATCGCTGGTAAAAGAATTCCTGGATTTGCTGCTCCCAGTTATCACAAAGATGGTGAACAGTAGTTTGATAAGTGGTGTCTCCCCAGATTCTTTCAAACATGCCACTGTCATCCCCCTGTTAAAGAAGGATAACCTAGATCCAAACTTGCTTAAAAAACTTTCGACCAGTCTCTAACCTGAAGTTTATATCAAAGATACTTGAGAGAGCAGTCAATATTCGACTCAGGGATCATTTCTCTGCCTTTTCACTTTTGGATAAATTCCAGTCCGCTTACAGATCAAATCATAGCACCGAGTCAGCCCTCCTCAGAGTCTCCAACGACTTACTTACAGCTGTTGATGAAGGCAAACTAGCTACTCTTATCTTGCTTGACCTCTCTGCTGCCTTCGATACAATCGACCACCAACTCCTTCTGGAAAGACTCAAGGGCCAATTTGGAATCCATGGGGTACCCCTCATCTGGTTACAATCTTATCTCGAAAGCAGAAGTCAGACTGTCCTGTTAGACAATATCAAATCACAAACCTCCTTGGTCCACTGTGGTGTACCCCAGGGATCGGTACTCGGTCCGCTTCTTTTCATAGCATACACGACCGATGTTGCAGACGTAATTGACAAACATGGCATTTCCCATCATTCGTTTGCAGATGACACTCAACTTCAGAAAAACTCAACTCCCAAGGACTTTCACACTGGTCTTCATAAAATAACAGACTGTACTAAAGATGTTAAGTCATGGATGACAAACAACTTGCTAAAGTTAAATGATGACAAAACTGAGGTGATGGTTATTGGATCCAGGCAAATGCAAAAACAAATTACCACCAAAACTGTTCTGGTAGCAGATGCAGAGATACAAGCTGTCGACTCTGTTAAAGACCTTGGAGTTACACTTGACTCACACCTGGCGATGGACACTCATGTAAATCAACTCTGCAGAATATGCTTCTTTCATCTACGAGCCATTGGCAGAATACGCCATCTCATCAGTCGTGATGCAGCACACGGTCTGGTCCAGGGACTTGTTATATCAAGAATTGATTACTGCAATAGCCTCCTTTTTGGTATTTCTCAGAAGCTGCTATCAAAATTGCAAAATGTCCAAAATACAGCCTCCCGAATCATAAGCAGAACTTCAAAGCGCTCACACATAACACCTGTCATGAAAAACCTCCACTGGCTGCCTGTTAAATCAAGAATTGACTTTAAAATATTGTGTTTTGTCTACAAATGCCTCAATGGCATAGGCCCAGAATACCTGAAGGAACTCCTTACCCCGTACACTCCAGAAAGACAGCTCCGTTCTCAGAATCTGAACCTACTCTCTGTGCCTCGGTTCAAACTGCAAACTTTTGGAAGGAAATCCTTTGTCTGCTCTGCCCCTCTACTCTGGAACTCTCTCCCTATCACCATTAAATCAGCAGTTGACTTTTATTCCTTCAAACGACTTCTCAAGACTCATCTGTTTTCACTGCATTATGACTAGCAACTAGTCCCTTATTGTATATATGTATTATTATCCACTCACTTTGTTAGCGCTTTGAGCATGGGCCTTGTGCATGGAAAAGGCGCATTATAAGTTCACATTTATTATTATATTATTATAATCAAAAGGTTAAACGAAGCTTACCTGTAAGGTGAAGTTTGATCAGGCCGCTGTCAGTCAATCACAGGGACGAAGGGATTAAGTGAGACTGCAGTACGCATGCGCCAGTCAGTCTTTGTAATTGTTCGTGAGTGAAAGACAAAGTATATAGTCAGGCAAGGAGGGACTTTAGGGTAGGGCACTTAATCCCTTCGTCCATGTGATTGACTGAGTCCTGGTCAAATTTCACCTTACAGGTAAGCTTGGTCTGAGTAACGCTGGCCACGTTGTCGCCATATCTTGTTCTGCGATCTGCAGTTGATACGCAATACCGACCCTCATCTGTGAACAGAACAGTTCTCCATTGCTTGTATCGCCAGTTAGGGTTTTGTAGGGCAAACTGAAGACGTTCACGCCGATGACGAGGTGTGAGGAGTGAGTTCAAAATTTATCGTCACATCGGCAATATTTCAGCCATATCGTGACGAGAACAATTAATTTTATAAATAGTATTTAATGGTAAATTGTAAAAAATGTCAACGAAGGACAGTAAAATAACTAGATTATCACAGATTCGAATTTAAAACTAGTTATTAAATCTAAAACAGTTTAACTATAGATGACAATACAAGGTAAAACAGGCTATATAATGCCAACAACAGGTAGATCACCTTATAGGGGCCATGGGGACTCACAGTACAATTGCTTCCTGCATGGACCGAGGTGTGAGGATAGGTCCACGGTAATGTCTACGGCAATGAAGGTTCCCGCTGTTAAGACGTCGGCGTACTGTATCAGTACTGATTGGTCTTCCGTGTGTTCCCACTGTCTGGTGTGCTGTTTCGGATGCCTGCATGAAGGGATTCTGTACATGCTGTCGCACAACATGGCGGTCTTGTCGGCTTGTGGTCACCCTTGGTCTGTCAGTACGCCGGCCATCATTTGTGGTGTTGGTGGCCCGGAAAAGTTGTTGCAGCCTGTAGATGGTCCGAACGTTGACCTGGAAGTGATTGGCACCGGCTTTTGCAGTGTGGCCAGCTTCTGGTTCTTCTGAGCTGTCGTGAGTCGCGGCATCCTGCTGACGTTGTAATGTAAATGTTTCAATCAGTTTTGGGGGTGCATTTTATAGGGCTGGTCCTTGTGAACAGCACATGCAGCATGAGTTGCATGAAAAACATGGATAACACCGTACCATCTCCGAGATCAGGCTGCATTTTTGAGACCATTTCTTGTGTTCAATTCTGAGTGTGGGAAAGAATGTTGTCAAAAATATACACTCAAAACATGAAATTAGTTTACAGTTATCGGTTTCTGCAAAAGACAATTCCAAATTGACGTTTCTTTTGCTGCTTAGTATATAATACACCTTAGAATATTATTGTCATTTCGACTACAACCTCCCTTCCGAGGAATAAATCGTTATGTTACAAGTTGTGTCATGCAAAATCCTTTTGGTCATCAATCATAAACATATTTTACTACAAGTAGTAAGTATTTTTTATTTCTTTAACTTCCGTGAAGTGATCTGAACACAAGTAAGATATCGTTCCAACCTTCCACAACGCTCGCTTCGCACTAACAAATATAACCAATTTAGCACGAATTGTTGGGTTCGGTGGAAATCTGTGCATGGTGACACCATCACCCAACCCCTGTGAGAATTGACGGCAAGACAACGATTCGGCATGTCTTCGTTGACGTCAAGAAATCAGCAAAATGACGAGTTTGTTACACATTTTATATACAACTAACTGTAAAACCTTCCTCACATAACGTCACTTCCGGTTCACGGCAGTGTTCTGGCGACAGAGTAACCTCTCTGTGGTTTCGTTGGCGGGCGAGAGTGAAGCAGACGACTTTTTGGCAACTTTTAATAGCTCGGTATTAATAAGTTTATTATGAATTAATTTGGTGTTTCGCCTCAGACTAATCACATGTCTTTCATATGTAATGGTTAAAAGAGTACAAAAAACAAAAGATTATTTGTTCTTTAATAGAAATGCATAAGCACCTGTTTTACTTATTGTCAGTGAATTTGTATCCAAGAGGTGCAACGTTTGTCCCCTCTGCACAAGAGACAACAGTAAAGTTAACTTTATCATTAAACTTTATGCACATGTTTACTCTTGATAACTTCCTCAGAAACATCAAGTTTAACATTTCACACTTCTGTATATCTTGGAACAGATGGCCTTGATTCAAACACACCTTTTAGGAATCTACCCCTAATGGATGGGTCCTTGCCTTGACTCCATCAACGAAAACGTAACATGATAAGGCACACCTTGCTGTGTGTAGAGCACTGTAACCTAATGTAGGTTCAAAAAGAAACAAAAGAAAGTCAAGTAACTGCGTATGATGACGGTGATCAGTCTTCCTTTGACCACAAAACGTGATCCATCTGTTGATATACGATGAGTACTGTGTCCTTGTACTTTGTCGCCATGAGGCCAAGACCACCTTGGCAGCTCCTGGAGAAATCCCTCGGAGGGATCTCTAGGCATCAATAATCCTTAATTGAAGTTGAATAACTCCTACTTGATAATGACTTCTTTACGTTATAAGTTGGTGTAATAATGTTTCTGTTGATCCCACTGAGCTTTGATCATGCATTTGTACATTTATTGCCTTTAATGCTTGTACTCAACTACGGGGGGGCAGGGAACGCCGTATGTAGACACTTCAACTCAGTAAAATGTAAAGCATTTGATTTTACAACACTTAATAGTATCGTAGGGGACATTGACTTGCCTAATTAGTATGAGTATCTCGTTTTTAACCTGTATGATGAAACAATGATGTTTGATCATACCCTTAAATATGTACTTAAACTAGTATAGAGTCTGTGTCCTAAAAAGATCTTCTTCTATTCAAAATTGTAAAAATGTCATTTTAATACACATGTATATCCTTACTGTATTATAATTGAAATGCAGTCAATGGGGAAACCAGATATATCCACCATTCACCCATCCAATCATTTTGTATATACTAGGCACATAAAGAAACTGTGCATACACAAATCTAAATTTATCAAACCAGTGTAGACACATAAGGATTTAAACTCAGAGATTAGTGACATGTAATCTGGACGTTCTGGACGTCCACGTCCACCCATCTTCGCCACAGGTTTCAGACTACAGTGATGACTGCCCGAACCATCCCAGGACTTCGCCATATCCAACCCAACACAGTTCGACAACGTTTACGTCATCACGGGATCAGACCACGACGTCCCGCCATACGGCCTATCCTGACACAACGTCATCGACAAGCTCGCCGAATGTGATGCCGAAATCAAATCCGCAGACCCTTGTTTTGGTGGAGAAATGTTGTTTTTACAGATGAGTCCAGGTTAAACATTTCCCATAGTGATGGACGTCAACGTGCCTATAGACGCGTGGCAGAACGTTATGCACAGGCCTGTGTCTTGAAGAGGAATCGCTTTGGTGGTGGTTCCGTGATAATTTGGGTTGGAATAACCGCACGCCAAAGAACTCCTTTGGTGATTCTTCAGGGCAACTTAACTGGTGTGGGCTACAAGGATCAGATTCTTCGACCTTTGGCAATTCCTTTTCTGCAACGTCATGGCCCTGAGTTAACATTCCAACAGGACAATGCCCGCCCTCATACGGCAAGGGTTGTTATGGATTTCTTGCAACACCTCAACGTTGACTTACTGCCTTGGCCTGCAAATTCACCGGATCTCTCCCCGATAGAGCATGTTGGGACGAGATGGATCGACGTCTACGCCGTCTTCCTCATCCGCCAGATAACGTCCTTGACCTTGCAACAGAACTTGAGAGAATCTGGCGTGACATCCCACAAGCCTTCCTTGCACGTTTGATAGGCTCTATGCGTCGTCGATGCACTGCTGTTCTCAATGCCGATGGTGGACATACCCGTTATTGAGCTTGTGACATGGTCGTTTGACCCCTGTCCCGCTTGTGGACTCGTGACGTCATTGTGATTGACTTTTCAATTGAAATTCTCCCGACTTGTTATGGTCTCATGACCCCTCTATTAAAGTTTATATGTACCTTTGACATTGTTATCGTACTTATCAACTGGGATAATATTTTGACAATGCACAGTTTCTTTATGTGGCTAGTACATCATGCACTATAAACCCTGACAAATAGCAAAACAGATTTCAGTTATTTCCACTCTATTATTGATCGTATTTAAACATTGTATTGTAATATGTGAATGATGATTGACATAATTCGTCCGTTACTGATTATTTTACAATTACTTGAACATTGTTTGTCACTTATCTCAGTTATATACATGCTATATTTTCGTGTTGCTGTAAAAGTATTAAATATGTACGGCCGACGAAATTAAAGTTGCATAAAAAGACCTTCACATTTCGCGTACCCCATCAGCTCCCGCCACACTGAATTGCATTCATGTAACCAAATCGGTCATTATACAAAAGAAATTGGAGTATACATACAATAAAAATACATACCACGTTTAAAAGTGTGATATTCAAACATCTGGTGCAAGATTTAAATTACTGATTACAAAACGTCGACAAAACGACAAAACATGACCTGAAATGAACGATCCCCTGATTGCACCGCCTTGCAATATAGGCAGGCATGGCCATCCCTGATGTATCATGGAATCTCGGAACAAACACTTGATATGTCATCCTTTGAGGAAAAACATATACTGCCTTTGCACGAGCGTGAACGTTGCCGGCGAATGTGAAGGCTATACTGGTTAACTGTCTCTTAGTGTAATAGTAATACGCACAGCTTGCATCGCGCATACGAGATGAGATGATTTTTCGATGTAATAATGTAAACGTCGGAAGGTTTTGCTCGTTGCAACCAGTGACCGCGTAGCATTAACAGGTGCACTGCGATATTATTTCACCAGTAATTTGAAATGATCTTATGTTTAAATGATACGGACGTGTAGTTTTCAATAGAGTCTTCTGTCCAACCTTTGTCAGGTGACCAACACATTATTTTGTTTATAATTTGTTTAGATAAAAGTAACAAGAGATCCACCATGTGTGTCAGGACTGTTAGTGATCCCTGTGCCTACACATTCTCCATGGACACAGAGGTGTGCGGCGACAGAGAGATGTACAAGCTGTCAACAGACATCGTTTCTTCGGGATTCTGCTTTTGTAAGTAAATTCCTTATGTTATTTACGTTAACCCTATCATGACACACACACGGAATACAACTCTGTATCCTTATTTATCCATAATCAAATATAAAATGGATTGAATTGATTAGGTGATTAATAGTTTGTGAATTTGATATATTCATGCCCACTGAGGAACAGGTTTGTTGAAGTTTGTCAAGATGATATATGTGAACATGCATTTGTCGCCATTACTCGCCCATCTCTCCATCCATCCATCCGTCCGACCATCCATCTCTCCTTCCATCCATCCGGCTCCCCATCCATCCATCTAACTATCTCTCCATCAATTCATCTCTCCATCCATCCATCTACCTCTCGATCAATTCATCTCTCCTTCCATCCATCTAACTATCTCCATCAATTCATCACTACTTCCATCCATCCATATACTTGCACAGATAGATACACACAGTCTTGGATACATACTCGAACACATGCATTTAAACACAGTCATACATACACAATGCCAACACATACACATGTGTGTGTGTGGAGGAAGCTAGCATTGTACAGAGGACTCAAAAGAACTAAAGAATAAAACGATCGGATTTTGTTTTTTCAGCGTGCACCGAGCGTAAGCAGGACATCCTCATCATCTCCGATGTTTCACGCTCAATTGGACCCAAGACGTTTGAGAAAATGAAACAATTTCAACTGTCATTGTTGAGATCTATTAACATAAGCCAGGACACTGACGCTGTTGCTTTGATGGAGTTTTCCGAAAGCCCCAGAGTACTTATTAATCTCGACTCACCTTCTTCAGTGAGGGAAGCAGATCTCCTGTCAATGATAAACAAGCAACAATTTGAAAACGGACCTTCGACCGACCTTGCAGACGCCATCGACATGGCAGTAACAGAGGTTTTCACAGCACAGAAGGGTGACCGGGCAGATGCCGACAACATAGTGATCTTGTTCACTGATGGCTGGCTTGACAAGTCAGAGAAGGAAGATGTGGCTGCTGCGATTCGTCAGCTTTCTGCAGAAGTACTTGTTGTCGCTAGCAAGGGGGTAAATTCCGCTGTTCGAGAAATTGCCTCGAAACCTAAAGATGACCACATCTTCCTTCTTGAGGGTACAAATGAAGTGGACAAAATTAAGGGGAAGATCTCGCCATGTTCCCTTTGAAGAACACCTAAAGACCTGTTTCGCACATACAATGATGAAATAGGTGTCGAAAACCATATTTCATTTCAATAAAGACATGCGTCTGATACGTATACATTGTTTTCATCATGGAATCAAAAATCATTTTTTTATTTCATGCAGTTTCATTTTTAGAAGTTGGAGAGTCAGATAAGGACAAACTTTATGGTTGAACAACTTTTATGCAGGTTGTGTGACGTTTCGATAGAGATTAATTTATCGTACCTGCTTGACAAATATACAAGAATCAATATCGAAACGTCGCTCCAGCTGAATAAAGAGTGTAGTGAGTGAGTTTTACGCCGCTTTTAGCAATGTTCGATATCATGTCAGGGGACGAGAGAAATGTGTTTCACACATTGTATCCATGTCGGGAATTGGACTCGCGAACGTTTAAACCTCTAGGCTACCCCATCGCCCCCCTGAATAAAGAAGTTGTTCATCCTTAAAGTTTGTCCTTATGCATGGACAATGTTGCAACATTTTTTCATAATAACGTTGAATAGTGAGTGAGTGAGTTGGGTTTTAAGCCGCTTTTAGAAATGGGCTCTACACATTGTATCCATGACTGGAATTGGACTCGCGAACGTTTAAACCTCTAGGCTACCCCATCGCCCCCCTGAATAAAGAAGTTGTTCATTCTTAAAGTTTGTCCTTATGCATGGACAATGTTGCAACATTTTTTCATAATAACGTTGAATAGTGAGTGAGTGAGTTGGGTTTTACGCCGCTTTTAGCAATATTCCAACAATATCATGGCAGGGGACACCAGAAATGGGCTCTACACATTGTATCCATGTCTGGAATTGGACTCGCGAACGTTTAAACCTCTAGGCTACCCCATCGCCCCCCTGAATAAAATAGTTGTTCATCCTTAAAGTTTGTCCTTATGCATGGACAATGTTGCAACATTTTTTCATAATAACGTTGAATAGTGAGTGAGTGAGTTGGGTTTTACGCCGCTTTTAGCAATATTCCAACAATATCACGGCGGCGGACACCAGAAATGGTGTACAATGTGCGGAATCGAACCCGGGTCTTCAGTGTGACGAGCCAACGCTTTAACCACTAGGCTACCCCACCGCCCCTAACGTTGAAGAGACTAAAGTATTCATGTTAGAGTACTGGAGGAGGCGCAAAAAGATAACAGAGTTATTTCGGGGCCTTCGGATGTGAGTGAGTGAGTTTCATTTAACGTCGCAATCAGCAATATTCCAGCTGTATGGCGGTGGTCTGTCTATAATCGAGTCTGGACCAGACAATCCAGTGATCAACAGCACGAGCAACGATCTGCGCAATTGGGATACGATGGCATGTGTCAACCACGTCAGCGAGCCTGACTACCGGATCCCCTCAGACATCCATTAAGTTCCATTCCACGCACCAGTCAAGCTCTCGCACACAGAAAGAGTCACATACGAATATTTAAATATTTGCACTCCACCTGTAGATTATATCTGATAAAATATATTTAACAAAATCTCTAAACACGAATCAGGTAAATGTTTAAGCAACTGATAATGAACACTATCAGGACCCCTAGTACTATCATGAGCTTGCCCTTTCAGCTTTTTCGAATGTTGGTGTAAAATGTGGCAGGAAGAATGTTGAGCTAAAGTTTCTCCTTATTAGTTTGTTATCTATCACTTAATATCTTGTCCCCATTCGTGAGATAATGAACACTAGATTTTGATCCTTTACCCTTTATCCTTTGCGTCATATTGCAAACTTGCGACATAAAGTTGTTCTTCTATTTTCAGTTTGTAGGCCATCGGCTCATGTACAAAACGCTCCTCGTCTTGGTAGCTGCGAGTTTTTTCATTCTCTTTGCCATCCTTGCCCTTAGGTTTAGGCTTTGGCTTTGGCTTGGGCGTTGGCTTGCCTTTCGGCGGCTGTTTCTTATTTTTAAGGGTCACAAGCAGTGCATAACGAATGTATTTTCGCAAAGAAGCCCAGTTTTTCATGAGGAATCGGGAGGCTCAGATTTATGTACGCCTCTAATTGATTGTCATGGGCCGAACCATCCTGACCTTTAATCTGGTAGACAGCTACAGCATGTCATGTCAAGTTCGCTGGAGTATAACAACCCCGTATCCCCGGTCTTTGCTTGGAGATCCGCTGCAATATAAGATCGTCCCTGTTGACACTCCATGGTGGGTGGGGAGAGGGGATGCCGAACCACATTCCTTACGACATGGCTTCCCAAAACCCCGTTTCAAAACGAAAACATGTGGACTCTGAGGTGAGGTTAGGTGAGATTGGGTTTAACGTCGTGCTTGAGAATATTTCGCTCATATGACGACGTGCATGCGTGTGTATGTGTATGTGCGGCTGCTTGTACTAGCCCAGACTTAAGCTGGTTTTATAGTGCTAGCCCACTGAGATACCATGCCACAGTGAAGCATGAATACCCAACTCAGACACATTATACTGACTCCGAGCCGACCAGTCCTTGTACCCATTAATGCCGAGCGCCAGGCAGGGACCAACAAGTACCATATTTTAACGTCTTTTAGTATGACGTGGTCGGGGATCGAACCCGCGACCTTCCGGTCTCCGTGCGGACGCTCTAACCACTACACCACGGAGACGGTCACATGTGGACTCTGACAATTCCTCGTCTGACGAGAGTACGCCCATTCGACCCAATTACTGGCCACGTTTTTTGATCATCGAAGCTTGTGACAAGCAACCTTTGCAATTGAACCCATTTGCAGTCCCCAAGGGTATAGCTGGTATCTGCGGAGAGTTTGCCAATGTCACAAAGCTCTGGTCCAGTTCTCTACTAGTAGAATGCGCTCGGAGACAGCAGTCCTTGAATCTACTGAAATTACAAGAGTTTGGCAATGTAAAGGTTGCTGTCTCAGCGCACAAAACACTGAACACGTGTAAAGGCATTGTACGGGACAGAGGTCGGTGCTTGTGTGACATGACTGAGGAACAAATTGTCCAGGAACTTTCCCAGCAGTCTGTCACAGCTGTGAAGAGATTCACTAAGGACGGTGTGGTTCAACCCACAAACACCTACCTTTTTACGATCGCCAGATCGAAGATTCCCGAAACTATAAGAGCCGGTTATTGCCGAATTGGTGTGGAGGTGTATGTACCTAATCAACTCCGGTGCTTCAACTGCCAAAAGTTTGGACATGGTTCCAAGTCCTGTCGTTCTTCTGCTGTTTGTTACCGCTGTTGTGACAAGCATGAGAACAATGACTGTACTATGGAAGTGAAGTGTCCAAACTGCTGTGGTAACCATATGGCTTACTCCAAATCTTGTCCCGTGTGGCAAAGCGAATCAGAGATCGTAAAGATCAAGCACAAAGAAAATGTCTCCTTTCATGAAGCTAAGAAGAGGGTTGCAAGTTTAACTGTAGCCCCTTCAACCATCACCTATTCTTCTGCTGTCTCCCGTCCTTCTATCACTACTGCAACTATCTCATGTCAGACCGATCTGACATGGGTCATGTCTTCTCAGCCAACTCAACTCAACACAACTCAGCCCATCTCAGGCACTCCATCTCCAAAGCCAAAAGTCAAACCTTCTGAATCACAAACACAAGAACAAAAGCCAAAACCAGAAACAGAAACAGCACGCCAAAAAAGGGGAATAAAGAAGCTACAGAGACAGCTTGAGCAACTGCCAAACACAAAACCAAAGGCCACCTCTTCTCTAGAGGTCCCCATCGAGGTCCATAACTCCTTTGGACCTCTGGATATGGAGGTCACTCCATCTCCAGCTGACACCAATAGGAGTTCATCAAACGCTTCCTCACGTTCACGTAACATATCACCAGCGGAAGCATCATGAATCCACAAAACATGATTCAATGGAACTGCAGAGGACTTAATAATAATTATAACGAATTACAGTTATTGATTCAAGACTTCAAACCATCCGCGTTTTGTCTCCAAGGACCTACCTAAAAAGGACTGATAAATGTGACATCCGGTGGTACAGTTCCTACCACTCCTTTTCTCCTCCCGGTGTAAAAGCTACAGGAGGCACTTCTATCCTGGTGAGGCAGGGCATCCTCCATAGCCCTGTTCCACTTAACACCACCCTACAAACTGTTGCTGTCCGCATGACTCTGAACATAGGGTTTACACTATGTTCACTCTATCTTCCTCCCTCCCTCCTCAACTGTCCGCCTATCAGATCTTCAGAACTTGTATGATCAACTCCCAAAGCCATGCATAATCATGGGCGACCTGAACGGCCATAACCCTCTATGGGGGAGTACTGATACAAACAATAAGGGAAAGGTCCTTGAAGATTTTCTCTCAAATAATGATCTATGCATGTTCAACGATGGATCAAACACTTATCTCCATCCTGCCCCTGGAAGATACTCTGCACTTGATCTATTACTTACGGATTCTAATCTCTTAAACGAGTTTGAATGGTCGGTCCACGATGACGTTTGTGGAAGTGACCACTTTCCAACTATTCTTACTCCTATCAATCCCGCGGGTGAACCACCTTCAACAAAATGGAATTTTACTATAGCCATTATTCCAAAGTCTCTGCTCTGAAAAACTTATACCGGACAACTTCAGTAGTGTTCCTGATCCAATGGAACTATTTTCTGATATCTTAAATACTATTGGAGACGAAACCATTCCTAAGTCCTCTGCAAACCCGACATACGCAAACCATGGTTTGATACACACCGGTAACAAGCTAGGAAAAATGGGAAGAAGACGAAAAACTACTTTCGACAATATCCTTCTGTGCATAACCTGAATGCCGTTAAAATGACAAATGCCAGGGCAAGACGTACATTTAAACAAACTAAACGCCGGTCATGGAGGAAATATGTGTCCAAAATCGACTCACGCACACCCATGTCCAAGGTGTGGAACATGATTCAAAAGATTAAGGGCAAAGGATCCAAATCCGGTGTTCGCCATCTCAAAGATGGTGACTCTCTTTTAACAAATAAATTTGAAATTGCAAATAAACTTGGCCAAACTTTGGCAAACCACTCCTCTTCCACAAATCATAACCCCAAGTTCCAGAAATACCAAACGCAACAAGAAAAGAAACCAGTCAATTATATAATCGTGAGGATTACAATGAACATTTTCTCTCCATGACTTATGCACTGCTCTGGGGCAGGCTCACGACACTGCAGCAGGAGCTGATAATATTCATTATCAGCTTCTCAAACACCTCCCTGATTCAAGTTTGGAAAAACTACTCAATATATTTGATGACATTTGGACAACCGGCAACTTTCCTCCTTAGTGGCACAATGCCATTGTCATCCCTATACCGAAACCTGGCCGGGATCATACTGATCCCTCAAACCAACGTCCTATATCACTAACTAGCTGTGTTTGTAAAACCATGGAGCGCATGGTCAACAATTGATTAATCTGGTACTTGGAGACCAATAACCTCCTTAGTGACCTCCAATGTGGTTTCCGAAAGAACCGAAGTACCACTGAACATCTGGTGCGTCTGGAATCTTTTATAAAAAATTCCATTGTCAACAAACAGCATTCAGTATCTATCTTTTTCGATTTAGAAAAAGGATACGATACAACGTGGAAACATGGTATCTTAAAAGATTTACATGAATTTGGATTGAAGGTCAGATTACCTCAGTTTACATCTCAGTTTTTAAACAACAGACAATTTCAAGTTCCACATTGATTATTTCAACCAAGATGAGGGCGTCCCTCAAGGCAGCATCCTGTCTGTCACCCTTTTTAGCATCAAAATTAACAGCCTCACTACCGTCTTGAACAGCTGTGTTGATGGGTCCCTTTTCGTGGACGATTTCAATATTTCATGGCGTGGTAAGAACATGCACGCAATAGAAAGGCAGCTTCAACTCTGCTTTAACAAAATCCAAAAATGTGCCAATGACAATGGCTTTAAGTTTTCAAAATCCAAAACAAATTGTATTCACTTTTATCATAAATACAAACCACACAAGGATCCAGACCTTCTTTAGATGGTACTCCCATCAAGGTAGGAGAAGGGGCCTAATTCCTGGTCGACCGTCACCTGACATTCTTACCACACATAAAATATTTTAAAACCAAGTGCTTGAAGGCGCTGGACTTACTAAAAGTCGTTTCAAATACAGAGTGGGGAGGGGATCAGACTACCCTCCTTCACTTGTACAGATCTTTGGATCGCTCTAAACTAGACTACGGCTCCATTGTTTATGGTAGAGCCTGCAAAAGCAATTTAGAAAAATTAGATTCTATCCGCCACCAAGGCTGGAGGCTCTGCCTGGGAGCTTATAGGACCTCTCCGGTAGACAGTCGATATGCGGAGACTAACGAACCTTCCCTTGAACAATGCCGCATTAAACTTTCACTGCAGTATATCACTAAAGTACGTTCAATTCAGTCCAATCGAGCATACAATTGTGTTTTCATCCCTCTCTATGAAAACCTGTTTCCTAAACTGCCAAGCCTGGTTCCACCACTTGGAATCAGAATTCATCCACACATATCTACAAATAAAATTAATCTCAATATCATAGCACCTTACCGACTCCTGTCTTCGCCACCCTGGCAGATGGCGAAATCACAGGTCGATCTTACCTCACTAAACTCAAAAAGTCCGAAACAAATCCTTTGGTGTTCCAGCAGGAATACAACCCGTTACGTTCCAAGTATGACACACATAGATCCATTTTCACAGACGGATCCAAGGATAAGGACCAAGTTGCCAGTGCTACAGTCATTGGATCCAAGACTGTCTTCTCTTGGATTCCCGACAACAGTTCCATTTTCACTGCCGAGGCCAAAGCTATCTTCTCAGCTTTGACCTACATTAAACAGCAGAATCATTCCTAAAACTTCATCGTTTTACAGATTCATTATCTTGCCTTCAAGCAATTCACAACGTTACTTCAAGTCACCCAATCATTCTGGACATTTTAGAACTTTACAACGACCTTTCTACTGTCCAATGTGACATCGTCCTCTGCTGGTTGCCGGGTCACGTCGGCATAGCAGGTAACACAAAAGCCGATGCTGCAGCAAAAGCAGCTCTTGACAAGCCCTTATCTCCACTGCTGATCCCGTACAGTGACACTTTCAAAAGCTATACTCGGGACCTCATGCAAAAGAGGTGGGACACTCAAGTAGGAAGAAATAAACTGTCTGAACTGAAGCCAACAATTGGTTATACCTACTTGGGTTGTCAGTCAAGACGTGATGAGGTAATTTTACGACGATGTCGTATTGGCCACAGTCGGTTTACACATGACTATCTGC